TTTATTTTTTGAGAATTCAGATTTCGATAGTTCAGATTTTGCGTTCGATCAGATTAAAAGTTCAGATTTTGCCAGATTTGCCAATTTCGTTTGAATTTTCGTTTGCCAATTAATACCGATGATTATTGATGATGAATGGGTGCTATTAAAATAAATTACATATTAATTTAGTTATTAATTCAATAATAACTTTGATAACAAAATATACAAACAAATAGTAAAAAAAATACATACATCTAACAATTTCTCGGCAGACCACCTATCTTTACAATTTTCAATGAAACATTTACTTAAGAAATCAATGGCTTCCCAACCAATTTCAACATCTTTCTTACTACGTAAACGTTGAAATCCGTAGGGTTTCTCGCCATTTCGAAGTTTTTCCCTAATTTCCATATCACTGGCACGTCCCCAAGCAGCTTTGCCAGTTAAAAGTTCTAAAACACAGATACCCAAAGACCAGATGTCTACTTTGGTATCATACGGACGGTCGGCGGCAACGCGAATAACATCGGGTGCCATATATGGAATCGTGCCCACCTCGGAAGTGGTCGATGTAGGAGTCAATGAGGAGATGCCAAAATCGGCTAGAAAAAAAAAATTTTTTTTAATAAATTAAAATAGAATGATAAAAATAAATATATACATTTGATATTTTGATATTTAGAAAAAATACATACCAAGTTTAATTTCATTCTCGGCAGTAGCCAAGATATTGGAGAGTTTAATATCACGATGGATTACACCATGGGCATGTAAATGTCTTAAAGCTTTCAAAAGCTAAAAGTAAAAACAATTTTTTTTTAAATTTAAAAAATTCTAAATAAAATATTTTTAAAGTCAAATATATAAATAATGAAAATGATAATCTTACCTCTCCAGTAATTCGACTTACTTCACGGGGAGTAATCTTTCCAGCACGATTAGTAACATCACCACGAGCGCATTTTTCCATTGCAATCCATACTTCTCGGATATCACCATCCCATCTTAAGAAACTTTCTTTGTACGCAACAATATTCTTATGTTTGAGATGTTTAAGAACATAGATCTCATTAAAAATGAATTCCAAAGAATATGCAAGAGGAATTATCTTTACAGCGACTTCATCTTTAATAGAATTCAATGGAAACGCTGTATGAACTTTAGCAGATGAACCTTCATCGATAACCCCTTTAAGATCATAATATTTAAGAGGGTTATCCATTGTGCTATAATTAGCAATTAAACGGAGATAATGACGAAGGTAATTTTGGATGGTTGCAACATCAGCATCAGAGGCTGGTGAAGGCAATGGAGGTGGTGGACGTGGAATAGAAGGATCAACATTTTCATTAGGATGAACACGTCGAGGTTGACTTGATACAGGGGTCGAAGCACGTGATGTGGTAAGAGCAGGAGATTGTGGGCGAGCAGGAGTTGAAGGACGATTTGATGATGGGGTTGGTGATGAAGTTTGACGACTAGTTGTAACTTGTTTAAGAAGTGGTGAAGATGACCTATTTTTTGATTCGGAAACAATTTGACTAACTGGACGGTATAAAACATTTTTGGGGTTTCCAGAATTTGGAGAAGGTCGTTGATGGGATAAAGCCGGAGATGGGGATGAAGGGCGGTTTGAATCCACAAGACGACGAGTAGTAGGGGTATAACCATCATTCACGTTACGACCGGATGAATTTGATTGATTTTGAGGAACAGGTGTTGGACATCGATCATCAGAAGAGGAAGCACCCGAGTTAAGTTTAGAAGCCAGACCAGGGTTTTTAGTACGAGAAGAGTTGTTGAGAGCATTTAAAACATTTAATTTTGATTGAGAAGCCACTACTTTTGGAACAGATGGAGATTGAGGATTTGAGACTGGAATTTGTTGTTTTATTTCGTCGTCATTAATAGATGAAGAA